TCTAGGTTACTGACATATTTTTAAAATCGCATAATAGAGAATTCCCTGGCAGTCCAGTGGTTAGGACTCTGTTCTCACTGTCAAGGGCGTGGGTTCGACACCTGATCGGGGACTAGGCTCACACAAGCTGCAAAGCCAAAAAATAAAATGACAAAATACACTCGAAACCCAGGACATCACTCTTGGGAAATCATCAAAAGTAATTACATTAACAATTATTAATTGACAATTAGAGCAAGCATCCAAGAGAAGATTAATTTTAGTTACTTTATGGGCTACCTCTGGGTGTGACATGATGCCACCTTCACAATCACAGTTGCGAAGGTGGCAACAGACGATGGGGCTCTCCCGGTGTCTCGGCGGTAAAGAATCTGCCTGTGACAGAGGAGCTGCAGGAGATGCGGGTTCAATCCCTGAGTTGGGAAAGTCCCCTGCGGGGGGCGTGACCACCCACACCGGTACTCTTGCCTGGGAAATCCCGTGGACAGAGGAGCCTGGCGGGCTACAGGGTCCACAGGGTCGCAAAGAGTTGGACACGACTGAAGTGACTAAGCACTCACACGAGAAATGCTTACAACTTAAGTGAAGGAATAGAACTCAACAGTATATAGATATTGTGCTTATCAGGGAATCCAGAAGCTATAAAAGCAAAGATATGCATATTTGACTACTTGACATTCTAAGTTTTAAGACAAAAAACACTTTAAAAGTTAGAAGACAAAGGATAGAGCAGGAAAAAAATGATACTATCTACGACAAAGGTTAAGATCTTTAGTAAACAAAGAGTTGCTACAAATTAAAATCCAATGGAAAAATGAGTCAGTGGTCTGACAATCCATAAAAGAGAAAATGCAAGAAGCGCAACCCCAGAGCTTCCCTGGTGGCTCAGTGGTAAAGAAACCTCCTGCCGATGCAGGAGACACGGGTCATATCCCTGATCTGGGAAGATCCCACATGCTGGGGAACAACCAAGACCCGTGCCAGCACTACTGAGCCTGTACCCTACGCGACTCCTGCAGTGTGAGCGCCCCAGAGCCCGGGCTCCGCAACGAGGACCCAGCACAGCCATAAACAAACAAACGAACGAAAAAAGAAGCGCCATCTCAGCACTCAAGGAAATGCAAACTCAAGGCAGAAACAAGAGCCTCATTTTCATCTGAGGAATTGGCAAAAACAGAAACGAATAACACCCTGTGCCTGTAGAGATTCGGAGAAAAAGACATTCCTGTCCGTTGCTGGATGGGAACGTGGCCAGCTGTGACTTCTCTGGAAAGGAGCTTGGTTCTCTGAAAACCACACTGGACAGCAAAGAGGAAGAAACTCTGACATGAGCTACGAGGTGGATGAACATCCAGGATGTTGGGCCAAGTGGACAAGCCAGACCTGGGCGAGACACGCAGGGGGATCCCGGTACGTGAAGTTCCAGGAAGGGGAAACCCTCCTGGGCAGTGGGGGCAGGGGGGAGGCGCTCCTGCAGTGGTGCAAGAGGGACCTCTCAAGGGGACGGAAAGTTTGGTACCTGGGTCGTGCTGGTGGTGACACCGTGACTGTTCTCATCAAAACTCACTGACTCTTACAGTTAAATGGGCGTACTTTAGCACATGACCATGATGGTGCAAAGAGTTGATTTAAATTTTTTTAAATACAAATATATATGTTTTTTTGATCTTGCAAATCCCATTTTGGATAAATATAAAAGTACAAATATAAAAGTACCTGTATAGAAGAATATATGCCGATGGATATTTTATTGCAACATTTTTAAGAGATAAAAAAACTATGAATGATAGAAATATTTATCATCAGGTAAATAAATGAATAAATTACAATATATCCTTAATGTAAAATAAAAGAATACCTAAAAGAATAAGTTAAATCAGTATCTTTTGGTCTTGAGGAATATGCATGCTATGGTTTTTAAAAAAAGGCAAGTTGTCTAGATATGTGCATAGTATTCCATTTCTGTAAAAAAAAATTGTGTATTTTTAAATATGGTATGTATATCTGAAAGACAGGAAAAATATGCGTTGAGCACACTAGGCTGTTAACATTTATTACTTCAGGGGATGGGACTGGAGTAGGGTGTAGGGCACATCTGATTTTCCTTTCACAAAATGTTGAATTATTTCAGTTGTAACAAATCAGCATGAATTACTTTTGTAATTCTTTCAAGTCTTAAAGTTTAAGAAAAAAGTAATAAAGAGTATAAGGAATCACTAAGTCTTTCTAATACAAAATAGGATAAAAATAATAAATTGAATTTGTGCTTTTATTAGTAGTGGAAAAAATGAAATGTGCATGTGGATAAGGATTTATAAGAAGAACTCAAAACAGATTTTTAAGAGTTTTGTAGAGTGTAGGAGTATATATTCTTTTTTTAATAAACCTGTGAATGCTTGTGGGCAATAACCAGAATAGTTCTATTATGTAAAATATGCAAAATATAGATGCAGTGAACAAAGCATAGATAGAAATGCAAAAATTAAAGTGGTTCAGTAAGGATGGCAGGTTTATGAGTAATTTTTCTCTCTTTCTCCAAACTGTATGTAATATTACAACATCTTAGAATAAAAAGTAACCCGTCCTCTCTGAGAAGCGATGTACTCTTTTATGGAATTGTTGACATTAGGTGAAAAGACAACACAAATGTTATCAGCTTTGTCAACATAAACCCCTGTATGGACAAGGACTGGAAAGAAGGCTGAGATGTCTGAGGTTTCTAACTTCTATTTCCTTTACTATTTTTGCAAAAACTGCAAATAAAGAGTAGGGGAAGCCATCTGCAGCGACACAGATGGGCTCAGAGATCACACTAAGTGAAGCAAGTCAGACAAGGACAAAGAGCCTGTGACGGACATCACGTGCTTGTGCGACCACCCCCAAAATGAGTGCAAATGAACTTATACACAAAAGAGAAATAGACCCGCAGACATAGAAGACAAATGGATGGTTGCCAAAGGGGGAAGTGGAGGGAGAGGTAAATTAAGTGTCTGGGATTAACATCCACATTACACATGAAACAGACAACCAACAAGGGCCCACTGCAGCACAGGGAGTCTGCTCAATATCCCGTAATAAAATCTATGAGAAAAGAATCCCAAAAAACAGATCTATGCATGTATAACTCAAGCACTTTGTTCTACACCTGAAACTAACACAATATTGTTAGTTCCAAAATCAATTGTCCTTTAATAAAAATGAATTTTTAAAAAAAAGAGTCCAGGGAAAACTTTTATTCTGGGTTTTCCTAGTTGCCAGGGGCTGTATCTTCTTTTCCCAATTATAAACGTCTTTTAAATACTAGCTGATTGGGCCATCCCTTAAACACATTATCTCACGCTGCTGGCCTCTGGAAAGCAAATGGGGGTGGCGGGGAGGCCGTGATCTCTACTCCCCTCAGCGAGGGTCGGCCTGCTGGGCTCCAGCCCCGCCTAGGGCAGGGGGGCACTGAGACGCGTGGGGGAGGCAAGAGCTGGCCTGAAGCAGGCTGTTCCGGGAAGGAGGCCCAGGCCTTCCCTGGCAGTCTCCTCCGAGTACTCGGGGGATGTGCCGTGTCTAAACACAGACTGCAGATTGAACATGACCCAAGCAGGTCACTTGCCCTGCAATTCAAAAAACAAACTCAATCCTAGACTTGAAATGGTTCAAATCAGCTAGACCAGGGGTCTCTAGGGTTACGAGAGGCTCTAGTTACTTCTAATCTTCTAATAGGAAGGAATATCAAGTCAGGGTTCCAAATTGTGATATATTTTAAATGTTTAGATAATTAACACTTTCAAAACACACACATTGCATTTTGAACAGTGCTATTCTAAAGGTGACTACAGAATAACATATATATATATAAAAGTAACTGCATGTGTGCGTATATATATGGATGGAGACACATGTATTTCCTTTTTGGAAAGTGTAGATGTATTTTAAAGTCAGGAAAAAGGATGAGTTTGTTTGTTTGTTTTTTGACCAGGCCACACAGCTTGTGGGATCTTAGTTCCCCATCTAGGGACTGACCCAGGGCCTGGCAGTGAAAGGGTTAACTGTGTCCTAACCACTGCACCACCAGGATATTTTGGAAAAGTTTATTTAAAAATAATATATTAGTACATTTTCAAATAAGACGTTGAATTTTTTTTTCTTTAATCTCTAGCAACCATTTCCGGTAAACAACATCTAAATTGAAAATAATAGATCCAATTGTTCATTTGAAAAAGTACGGTAAATACAGAGGGAAATTTTTATACACAATGTGTAATATTCCCTCTGTATATACCTATCTTCTCAGGGTGTACTCCAGGTGTACTGGTTTGACTAAAGAAGACAAAATTCAAAGTAATACCATAAGCATTTTCTTTTAATCCTTCTTCTCATCGGCGGCTCACGGAGGCCCTTGTATGGAGATGGAGCTCTGGGAGAATGCGCAACCTGGCCACCTGCCCAAGGCAGGCCCTGCAGGAGCGGCAGGGGGTGGAGCCTGTGACTCGGGATCAAAGGACCCAGGCTGGAATTGCAGCTGCTGCTGTTTCCTGTGTGACTGAGCCTACATCCTCCACCAAGAGATGGAGATAAGAAGCAAAACCTGCACAGGCTCAGGGGAAGGTTAACCAGATGCACGGGGCCACGCAGCACAAGGTTCAGCACGAAGGTTGCTCAGATGTTTGCTTCCTTGGACGGACTCTCCCTGGCTGGACGAGGGGATTATGTGGGATGATGTATGTGAAAACAAATGTTGGCTATAATTAGAAATGGGCAACAGCGCCCTGGAGTCCATGTCAAGACGGCTTGTCTGTGTGTAAGATGGTGGCGGTGGGAGGTTTGCGCACTGCCTCCCAATGTCCGGCACAGGGGAGTTAGCCTCCAACGCTAGGATATTTTTTAACTTCCTTCTGAGCCCCCCGCCCCACCTTTTGACAGCCCCCAGAACTGTCACAGCTTCTCAGAATGGTTCTGGAAATGCAGAGGAGGGCCGAGAAGGGGCAGGGCGATGGGCAAGGAACTACAGGTCAAGGCTCCCAATGCGCCTCATACTTCCGGGCGCATTCAGAGGCCAGCAAGGCCCGGCCCGCTCCCTCAGACCTTTCCTCCCTTTTCCGATGCTCCAGACGCCCTAGTCTAGGCAGTTTCAGCCTACTGTCCCTGAAACACGTCGAGCTGAGACTTGGTCAAGGTGCATTCCTGCCCCCTTCCTCCACCCTCAGTTCCCTCCTCTTAGAACATTTGCAACTGGATCTCTGCGAGGTTGGTGCCCTCTGCTAAGTCTCAGCTAAGCTTCCTGATTCAAGGAAGGCCTCTCCTGATCCCTGTGTCTAAAGTATCCAACCCCTACTGACTCTCTGCCCTGTTGGGCTGTTTTGTTTTCCTTATAGTGCTGGTCATCATCTGAAACTGTCTTATCTGCATATGGACTATGATAGCCCTCAGAAGCAAGAGCTCAGCTGTCTCGTCCATACCAAATCCCCAGCATCTGCACTCTCTAGAAATACTTGTTAAATGAATGAATCTGAGATCCTTCATGGCGTCTTCCTAACTGAAAGGAGGGCTTCATCCTGGGTGATCCATGGCAGTTTATTGACTGCTGTGTGCAAGGCTTTTCCTGGTTGTGGTGGGTCCATGCATCAGTGGTCTCCGCTGACCATCAGCCCTCTTCCTCACATGTAAATTCCGGGACTGGACATGTAACTTGCTTTGGCCACTGGGATGGTAGCAGGTGTGCTGGGCACACAGCCTTAATAAACATTTGAATGCTGGGGTCTGTCCTCTTGGGACGCTGTCTCTTGAAGCCCTGAATTGCTCTGTGAAGAGGCCCAGCTACTGTGATGACATGGAGCCACAGGTGTTCTGGTCATCCCCCTGTTCCAGCCACCTCAGCTGAAGCCCCAGAAATCTGAGTGAAGATGCTCTTCGGAAACGTCCAACCCAGGAGACACCTGGCAGGGTGGAAGAACCACCCAGCTGAGCCCAGCCCAGAGTGCAAAGCCAGGGGAAACATGAAGTCACGTTTTAAATAAGTTTGACATGCTGACTTCAGCAATAAGTAGCTGAAACACCAGTTTACTTTCCATTTTGAATGGCTGTGTGAGTCCACAACTCAGAAACCGAGGTGGCAAAGGGCTGCAACACGGTTAGCTTTGCTTTTGCACTTTGCTTCGCATCCCACACAAGTTACTCAATAGTTCGTTGAGCAGTTTATTGAACTCTCCCTGCTAATCTCTTATGTGTGTGATGGAGAGGGTGCCGGTCATTTTCTGCACGATCTCTAAGGTCATGCAGAGGTGTCAGCGGGCCCATTGCACGCCCTGTTCCCCACTGCAGCTTGTGCAGGGCTGGGCAGCTGGGCCTGCAGGGGTGAGCTTCCCGCAGACGTTGCAGCCAGGTCACTGCCCTCTCCTTGGGCCTTCCCTCCCAGACCTTTCCCTCGGCACCATCTGCTCTCTAGGAGAGCAAGCAAGAGAAACGGGTAGGTCTGCCTAACCTTGACGTTCACTCACATCTTAAAAGACAAGAGACAAACCTTACTCTCTACTGCCTTAAACCTACGTTTAAGTAGAAAGCCTTATTTCTTCCCTTATTTTTCCCTTTTGGACAGAATTAAGAATCCAAATTGACAACAGTTTATCTCAGTTAGATTAGAAGTTATGTTTTGTGGTTTGAAAGCAAAAAAAGTTGATTAATTTTACAGTTAAAAATGAATACATTAAAAATTTTTAAGGAAGGAAGGGGGATTCTTTTCATTATTAAACAAGTCAAATACACAGACTAAAAAGATCTAATAACTGTTAAGTCGCCACATTCACTTTATATGTCAATGTGTGTGTTTCCTCAAAGATTTGGAGGTAGTTTCGGTTCTCCTACCCAACCACCACAGCGCTGTCACACCTAAAAAACCAACCATCGTGAGACACAGCCTTTGAACATGGGGCTTGGGGGAAAGAGAGCACGCCTTTGCACTTATCTGGGAGCACAGGATAGTTGGCAGGGTGCGAGGCCAAGTGTGGAGCAGGGAACGGGAGGGCTCTCTGATCCCCGAGGCCAGGCAAAGGCATGGAGCTGCTGGGCCTCAGCACCGGTTTAAAACCATTTATGGGAGCGGCCTGGCTCCTGGATTCTGAGCGCCGGTGACAGACTGCCTGTGCGTGAGCAAGCCCCAGGCCGACGTGCCCCTCAGCAGCGTGGAAACAGCATGAAAAACTGAATCGAGCAGGTCTCTCTCTGAGAATCGAGCAGGTCTCTGAGAAACGAAACAAACTGTAGCCACAAGTCAAGCTAGAGGGGAAACAAAAGATTCAGCGCAAAGGACTTCTGCTGAGAAGGAGCCCAGGCCCCCAGGGGAGGCGTGGGTGGGGCAGCCGGACTGAGACAGGAAGTGGGGCTCAGGCAGGGAGCTCCTGGCTGGATCCAGTGTGTTGAAGGAGCACCCCGCAGTCCCCACCTCCACTGGCTGCGGACGCGTCCAGGTCAGGAAGGCTTTTGCATAATCTCTCTGCAGCCCTGCCTGCTTTCCTCCACCCCCTGGCTGCGTCTCCCCCGACAGACTTTTTCCTTATCTGCCCCTCATCACTGTCATCCCTATAAAGCAGAGGCGGTATCTGCTTGCAGGGCAGCTCTCGGGCAGGGCCAGCCGGGGTGGGGTGGGTGACGGTGGCTGGCGTGCTGTCAGGCATCTTGAAACAGGCCCTGAGTAAATGGAGTCTGAGTCATTTCCTGGGGAGCCCCCGCCCTGGGAGGCGCCAGTGGGCGGGGCAGGCAGGAGGAGGGAGAACCCGGGTTCTCTTCCCCCTCTCCCTCTGCTGGGGGGGCGGTGTGAGCCGACAGCTCTCCCTGTGTGCCCCGGGGCCCACCAGGCAGCCCCAGGCCTGGGTCAGGCTGTGGGCTCAGCCACACCACCCCTGGTCCCTGGGGGCAGAGGCCTGCGGTTGCCGCTGATGGTTCCTGGGCTCCCTGCCTCCTGCGTCACTTTCCAGCTCTTCAATCGCCTGTGAGACAACCTCCTTGTATTAAATTCTGTCTGTTCTAAATACCTACAGTGGTTTCAGTTTTCCTGGCTGGACCCTGGCGGGTACGCATGTTAAGTGTTCAGATCAAGTGTGCAGTAGACGGAGAACTCAGCAGGCTTAGGAGGTCCAACCCCTGCGCACCCCACTGCGAGGACTGGCCCGACTGGCTCCCGGGAGGTAACATGCAGGCCCTGGCAACGTCCCACGTGCTAAGAGTGCCCTTGTGCACTGGGGCCTGGAGCCACCCCAGACAGCTGATGCTAACCGTATGATGTATGGTAAATGCCTATTTTTACTTGCCTGGGGCCGAGGTTGGGGGATGGTAATGGAGACCGTGGTGGCTCAGTGGCAAAGAACCCGCCTGCAATGCAGGAGATGCAGGAGGCCTGGGTTCAATCCCTGGTTCTAGAAGATCCCCTGAAGGAGGCACAGCAACCCATTCCAATATTCTTGCCGGGAGAGTTCCACGGACAGAGGAGCCTGGCGGGCCACAGTTGCAGTCATACGTGACTGAAGCGATTTAGCATGCATGCACGCAGTGGAGCCCGTATATCTGTGGTCAGCCATGGGGGTGCTCTCTGCTTAAGAGACTGCCCTTCCACACAGGCCCTGAACACTGCGGACTGGATGAGAGCCCTGGCCGGCCACGTCTGTGCGTGCCGTCACACACGGTCTCCGGGGGAACTAAGCGCCGTCTGCAGGTCTCCTGTGGTTAGGGCGCCAGACACTCACACCTGGGAGCTCCTGCGCTCTGCTCTGTACACTTTCTCCTCTCCTGGTTTTAATCTCTATTCTTCTAGTAGAGTGAACTGCAACCATAAGTTGAACAGCTTTCCTGAATTATGAGTCCTTCTACCAAGTCACAGAAGCTGAGGGTAGTCCTGGAGACCTCCAACACACCAAATAAACAGGAAACGTTTTTCACACAAAGTGTCTAGGGTCCGAGAACTTAAGTAATGTATCTGAACTGGATGCAGGTTCCACCTGACTCCAAAGGCCTGGCCCCCGTCACCACGCACCATGGACTGCCTCTTGTAAGAAAGAGCAGGGTGAGAGGCGTGGACGCAGGAAGACTGCTTGACGAGGAGCCGGAGTAGGGCCTGCTGGGGCCCCTCGTGGCTCCCTGCATCAACAGGCATCTACTGATCTCCGGTCTCTTAGACTAGGCAACCACTTGCATGCCAGGGAGGGACTGGAGAAGGCTGCTGGGGGTGAAGCCACTCTCCTGCAGAGAGAGGGAGACCAGGAGCGATGGACAGGGTTGACTGACCAACCACACAGCAAGAAGCTGGTAGCATCTTTACTGGGCATCTCGCCCAGTGTCCTGGCATCCACATGTCAGTGGTGGAAAGTGAAAGTGAAAGTCGCTCAGCCATGTCCGACTCTCTGCAACCCCACTGACTATACAGTCCATGGAATTCTCCAGGCCAGAATACTGGAGTGGGTAGCCTCTCTCTCCAGGGGATCTTCCCAACCCAGAGATCAAACCTCCCACATTGTAGGTGGATTCTTTACCAGCTGAGCCACAGGGAAGCCCAAGCATTCTGGAGCAGGTAGCCTATCCCTTCTCCAGCAGATCTTCCCGACCCAGGCATCAAACCGGGGTGTCCCGCATTGCAGGTGGATTCCTTACCAACTGAGCTAACTAGAGCCAGAAACACAGCATCCTCTGGCCCCTTCCTTCCCCTTGTTCACCCCCCACGGCCAAGCGTGTGCGCCCAGTCGCTCAGCCATGTCCGACTCTGCGCGACCCCATGGTTTGCAGCCTTCCAGGCTCCTCTGTCCATGGGCTTCTCCAGGCAGCAATACTGGAGTGGGCTGCCGTTTCCTCCTCCAGGGGATCTTCGCTCCACAGGGGTTGAACCCGAGTCTCTTGTGTCTCCTGCACTGGCAGGTGAATTCTTTACCCAAGTCTGCTTCCGAAATCCACCTGCGAAGGCCCTCTTTCCTCCGCCCGCCTGGCCCGCCCGGCCCGCCCCAGCGCCACCTTGGTCCCTGCACTGCTCGTGCCCGCCTGGGCGTTCGCCCGCCGGTCGCCTCCGCTCCGTCCACTTTCATGTGAGGAGCCTTCCCTGCCAGCCTAGGGACAGGAGGCCACCCGCCTCGCTGTCCCCTCCATGGCGTCCCCCTTTGTTCTCGTTT